GCCAGTCCCGGCACTGAGTCTCCAGTGTTGTCCCCCTTAGGGCCCTGAGCCAGCAAGGGACAGCGTGTCTTGTAGTGGGATCAGCCATATGGTCCACTCTTCATTGGCTGTTCAGAGCGGGGATATCGTCCTCCAGGCCTGGTGGGCCAGGATGTGCCCCACTCTCTTCCTCTGATCAGACATGCACATTTCTTCCTCTGATCAGACATGCACCTCTCCCCTAGCTGCAGCTTCAGTGACGTCCTCTAAAGTAAATTCTTCTGGAGAGAGGGGCAGTTGTCCACGTAGGTAGTATGGGGACCCGTCCCATAGGCCCTTGCACTGGCTCCCCACTCCTTGCCGGCATGCTACATTCGCATCCTGTAACACTGGGTTTAAGTCTGGTCCCTCTTTCCCTGTGGAGATGCAAATGATACCCTCCCCTTGGGTGGGTCAGTGCCCTATTCCCCCGCCACACATTTTTTTTTCTTTCTCCTTTCTACCCTCTTCCCTCCCCCTTTTTAGTTGGCTACCATATGTACCCCTGAATTTGGTCTGGTTGAAACTGATTTTGATAACGATTGCACAATACTACTTGACGTGATTGAACTATGGAATATTGTAATGTCTGGATTAGCGTCTAATAAAATAGTTTGGAGGAAAAAACCAGCATTTTTAAATAAAATAATTTTAAAAATATTAACAGTATGTCATAGACGGGCTCTAGAAGGTATACATTCTTTAACTCCTTTTTTTAAAAAAGAATGATTAGTATTAAACTTGTTAAAATAAATATATAAATATACAGAATACATAGAACATTATATCTGTATCTTTTAAGAATGTTAAATAACATATTAGCAAATGTATTCTGAGGTCTAATTCCATTTCTATCCTTTGGTTAGGAAATGAAAATCAAAAAACATATCTTAAACTGAAAGAACTCAAGGGAAAAAAAAATGCAAATCTTGAGTTACATTGGTGAAAGAATCTATGGACAAAAGATTGAATGATCCTAGAAGCACCAAAAGAAGATGTGTAAAGCTAAATAGCGCTATGAACCAAGTGCCTCCCTGTTTGCTCCCGAGTCTATCCTATAAAGGTTTACCCCAATGCTGACCACATAAAATGTTCTGCACAAATGGGAATATACCTTTGCCAGAAACCAGAGAACCAAGGATGGTGAAAATCACATAGAAATCAGTGAACCATGAATGATGACAAGCTACAATGGCTACATGGAGCTTTTATGATGTGGATCCAATGAGAAAATCTCAGCCTGTATTTTCCACTGCAGAGTGGCCAAACCCATTCCTCATTTCTGTACATTATATTAAGGACACTAGTTCCTAAACTCCGGGCAGATGGATGTTATAGCCTTAGCCCCGGGTGACACAGTATTCTGCCTCAGTCAGTCTGCACCCAGACACGGAATGAATCTTACTGTTTGCTAATACTTGGTCACACTAGTGTCTGAGTTAATTAACCTTAATAGATGAAAAGAATACATTGAGTCACTGTACTAAAAAGAACTAATTGACATTCCACCATTTCAGGAATTAGAATATGAGCTAAAACCAACGGTATTGAAAGACGTTCAAGCTGCATTGAAGGCATTAGTCAAAAACATTAAAGTCACTGCCATTGACTCAATACACTCTCATAGCAACTGCCTGTGGGTTTTCTGAGACTGTAACTATTTATAGTAGAAAGCCTAGTCTTTCTCCCATGGAGTTGGTGGTGGTTTTGAACTGCCAACCATGCGGATAGCAGCTCAGTGCATAACCACTATACCACCAGGCTCCATGGCTGAAAAAACAAGGCCCCAGAAATTGATGGAATCCTAACTGAAATCATTTAACAACTGATGAAGCACTGGAAACATTCACTTGTCTATGCAAGGAAATCTGAAAGAAAGCTGCTTGCCCAACTGACTAGAAGAGATTGATATTTGTACCACCTAGCAGAATGTGCAAATTATAGAACAATATTATTAATATCACATGTATGTAAAGTTTTGTTGAAGATCATCCACTAAGGATTGTAGTAATATATTGACTGAGAGCTGCCAGAAATTCATGCTGATTTCAGAAGAGGATGTGGAACAGAGATGTAATTGCTAATGTCAGATGGATTTTGGCTGAAAGCATAGAATGCCAGAAAGATGTTTACTTGTATTTTATTGACTCGGTCAAGGCATTCAGTTGTGTGGATCATGAGAAACTGGAGGATAACTTTGAGAAGAATGGGAACTCTAGAACATTTCATTGTGCTCATGCAGAACCTGTACATGGATCAAGAGGCACTTGTGCAAACAGAACAAGGGAATACTTCATGGTTTAAAATCAGGAAAGATGTGCATCAGCGTTATCCTTTCACCATACTTACTCAATCTGTATGCTTAGCAAATAATCAAAGAAGCTGGGTTGTATGAAGAATTATTAACAACTTGCAACATGCAGGTGACACAACCCTGCTTGCTGAAAGTGAGGCGGACTTAGAACACTTGCTGATGAAAATCAAAGATTGCAGCCTTCTGTATGGATTACAACTCAATGTAAAGAAGACCAAAATTCTCAAAATTAAACCAATAGGTAGTATCATCATAAATAGAGGATAGATTGAATTTGTCAAGAGTTTTGTCTTACTTGAAACCACAATCAATGCTCATGGAAATAGCAGCTAAGCCATCAAATTAAATGTTGTATTGGGTAAATATGCTGCACAAGATCTCTTGAAAGCATTGAAAAGCAAGAGTGTTACTTTGAGCATTAAGGTGCGCCTTACCCATGCTGTGGTATTTTCATTTGCCTCATATGCATTGAATAAGGAAGGCTGAAGAAGAATCGATGCATTTGGCTTGTGGTGCTGGAGAAGAATATTGAAAGTACTGTGGAGTGCTAAAAGACAAATCAAATTCAATTAGAATGCTCCGTAGAATCAAGGATGGTGAGACTTTCATCTCACTTACTTTGAGACCAGTCCCTGGAAAAGATCATCATGCTTAGTAGAGTAAAAGAGCAGCAAAAAAACAGGAAGACACTCAACAAGATGGAGTAACACACTGCCTTCAACAATGGGCTTAAACAGAAGAACAGTTGAGAGGATAGTGCCGAACTGAGTAGTGTTTTTTTCTCTTGTTCATAGGGTCACTGTGAATTGAAACTGACTCAGCAGCACCCAACAACAGCAACTAGTACTTGAACGGTTGATAGTTTTAACCCAACCAGTGGTGCATAGGAAGATAGGCCTGGCCTGGTGATCTCCTTAAAGATCACCACCATGCAAACCCGATGGGACAATCATACTCTGCATATGTGGGAACATCACAAGTGGAAGAGACTCTCGGGCAGATGACAATCGCAACGTTCTCTTAGCTTTGATCCAGACGCTCTCATAAAACTATCTGAATTATTCAGAGCTGAATGCATAACAAATAGAAATTTTAAGTTACTTCTATATCGTCTTATATGTGTTTGTGTAACTTCAAACTAAAGTAAGTTTTTAAACATAAGCCAAATTTTAAAAGGGTCTGAGTAGCAGGTATTTCTGTAATTATTTATAAATATACTTTTAGATAAAACTGTTTCACTTTTTTTAAGGTGGTGTGCCCTGATTGTAGTGATGAGATTGCTGTAAAGAAAGACAATATTCTTGTTCGCTCATTCAAAGATGGCAAATTGTAAGTATATCTTAGTTTGAAGATTCAGATGACTACTTTCTTTAATGGCTAGTTAGAAATATATGCTATTTAATATCCAAATAGGATTTTAAATTTTTATTTGTTTTCAAATACTTAATCACTAAAGTGACTAAAGCAAAATTCTTCAAAGAGTGACCCTTTTTTTGTATTTTCTTTAAGTTTTGTAGCAATTTATAGTGTTGTATGTTTTCTGTTATTTTGTGCCTATTCTGTCTAATTTGTTATTTGGTTTGTAATAGTGATTTGTTGGGGGTAAATTTGATATGTAATATTTTACTAATATACTTAATGAAATGGATTTACATAGTTTATTTTGAATATATAATTATGGATGTCTAATACTTATATTTGTATAAAAGATTGACCTGTTGTCTATTGAATAAAATAGGTTTTTCCTAGGAATTTGCTTCTATAAAGATTAAAGCCCATTGCTGTCAAATTAATTCCAATTTATAGCAACCCTGTTCTATAAGTAGAATTGTCCCATAGAGTTCTCAAGCATGTAAATCTTTATGGAAACAGACTACTTCATATTTCCCATGGAGCAATTGGGGTTTTGTTAACCTGTGGACTTTTCAGTTTTCAGCCAAGCAACTTGAATATTGCACTACCAGAGCTACTTTTATAAAAATTACAGACTTGAAAACTGGGGGCCAGTTTTGTTCTTCCCTATAGGGCTTCTGTGAGTTAGAATCAAATTCTGCAGCAATTGATTTTGTTTTATTTTTGTTAAGAATGAAGTATTTAGAGCTGGGTTTTGAAATTGTTTTTTCTTTAGAATTTTATGATTAGAGAAGCCATATGTTTTAAACTAAGATTAGTTGATGACTAAGATTTGGTCTTCGGTTTTCAAAATCTGAAGTGAAATTTTAAAAAATAATGTGTGAATACAACTTTTAACAAGATTGAGACAATAAAATTTTGAATACTCAACATTGAATACTGGCTCCATGGTATTAAGAAATTATTGTTAGTTTTTTGATGTGTAATAATGATAAAGTTATATTTTAAGAAACAGATCATTTTCTTTTAAAAGCCCTGTAGTAAAATATTTTAAACGATACCTTATACTGTTTGCAGTTTGTTTCAAAATAATTTAGTTGGGCAGGGAGGAAGTGAGTAGATAATTATTTTAGGTGCATAGTTAATACCTGGGGCTTCAATCCTACCTTCAGTTTTACACTACCTACTCTGTATGTTGGAAACAGAATGATCACTGGTTTAAAGCAGGAAATACATGTGAAATACTGTATATACTCGTGTATAAGCCGAGTTTTCCAACAGATTTTTAATGCCGTTTTTGTGGCAAAATTAAGTGGCTCAGCTGATATTCGGGTTGGCTTATACTCTAGTATGTATGGTATATAATATTGCTCAGCTCTGACCCCTCCTGAAGGTCCTTGAAAGGCTTTCGAGTACATATTGGAGGTATTTAGGATGCATTTTAAATTATGTAATCCCCCTTCACAACTTTCTTTGATTATCTCAAGATTATGGTAATTTCATACTCTTTTTGAAAAATGTATATAGTTTTCTCAAATATTTTTATATTTGATATAAGCAGTTTTAAGTTTTGCATTTAAGCAAATATTTGTGAAAACCTTGCTTATAAAACATCTGTTAAAGTGAATTTCTTTTGTTGATGATTATATATTTTAACATTCTGGGATTTAAAACCTGCAGTACTATTGTTTCGTTGTAAATGTCAAATTTTCTTTCCATATGTTCAGTGGTATCTATTTGCCTAGACTCTTAGTGAAACTGTATGTTTTAATGTTTTCTTTATAAATCAAAAATATAGCACTTCAGTACCAAGAAAAGATGTCCGTGAAATTACTAGTGATGCTGTGCCAAAGTCTGATGCTGTATTAAAACAAGGTAAGAATTATTTTAGAGTAAATTACCACATAATTTATACATTTTTGATGTGTTTTTTAAGATTAATTCTTCTTTTTGGAAAAAAAATTGTCTCTAAATTTGTATTCCTAAAATTATATCTGATTATATATAACGGTTTTTAAATATAATTGTCTTCATTATCAGAAATTGTTTTCTTTCTATATTATTAGAGCCAATAGTCTACAAAGTAGGAAGTAACTATATGATCAGCTATTATAGTGTAGCTTTTACCTAGTAAATAAAACATTAATTATCTTAATTCAGGCTTTACTACAATGTATAGAATATTGTTTATAGTAAATTTTTACATATTACATATTTATTATGTTTTGCCCCTGATATACTCTTTAATAATTGCTGAGTACATAATTAGATTAAATTATTTGTAAAAATTTGATTTTCAAATAAAACTTTTTCATCTTTGTTTTAATCATCTATAAAATAAAAGTAGTAGTACCCATAAAATTCTTAGGTGTTTATGATTTGCTACATGAAAAGGCATTTAGCATATTGCCTGACACAGAGTAAACACTTAAATCTCAGTGTATTCGCAGAGTAGTTTTTTTTTTAATACTATTATTGGGAGCTCTTAAAATCTCTTATCACAATCCATACATTCCTCCAATGTGTCAAGCACATTTGCACAAATGCTGCCATTATCATTTTCAAAGCATTCTCTTCCCCCTTGAGCCCCTGATATCAGCTCCCCATTTCTTCCCCGCCCTCCCTCCCTCACGAACCCTTGATAAGTCATAGATTATTTTTTCCATATCTTACATTGTCCCCCGTCGCCCCTAACCCACTTTTCCTTTATTTGTCCCCCTGGGAAGGGGGTTCTAGGTTGGGCCTTGTGATCAATAACCCCTTTCTCCCCCCACACTCCCCTAATCCTCCTGGTATCTCTGCTCTCCTTGTTGGCCCTGTGTTGCAGGCTCTTATATGTAGCAGTGTGCATGCTCTGGTCTAATCCAATTTGTAAGGTAGAATTGAGGTCATGATAGTGGGGGGAAGGAAGCATTAAAGAGCTAGAGGAAAGTAGCACAGTCGTTTTTCTTTGTCATATTTATTGTGTTTATACAAGTCATTTGTCCTGTGTCTTCAGTTTTTGTAATTTATGGTTTCTTTGCAAGCTTTTGATCAGGCGCTTGAGTTTCACCAAAGTAGAACTATACCTGCTCACTGGAAGACTGAATTGAAAGAAGATAGTTCTAGCAGTGAAGCAGAGGAGGAAGAAGAGGAGGAAGATGATGAAAAAGAAAAGGAAGATAATAGCAGCGAAGAAGAAGTAAAAATAGCTAATGCCTTTTAAAATTATAATTGACAGATTTTCTTTATGGGTTAGGAGTTGTCATAATATCATTAATCACTTGAATATTTTTAGTATTAGAAATTTTATAACAAAAGTTTATTGTGATAATCTTCATATTCTAGTACTTTGCTTACTTACATTAAAATAGAAATATATTGTAGTTCTAGCAACCTCAAAAATGTTTCACATCTTGTTACCGTTTTGGTTAGTCATATAATTAGAGAAATAGACACATTATATTAATTCAGTGAAACTAATGCCTTTCACCAACATGTAGCTAGTTCTCTCGTCATAAAAGTTTTATATCCGCACATTATTGTAATACTCAGAAACCTATAATCATCTATTTAGTATTAAAACTAGTGTGTAAAAATCAAATTAATATCATCTGATTCAGAAAAATCTCAAGTCATGTGAGTATGTAGTACTATTGGGCCAAAAATAAGTAATTAATGAATTTTTAGGGTTTAAGTAGCTCAAGCTTTTTATTTTACCTTAACTAGGGCTTTAGGTTTGGCTGTGGCAAAGCCCTCTTCCCTGACTTTCTCAATGACTTCAGTTAAAAAGTTACTTGGTGGGTGGGACACATAATGAAGGATGCTAATATTTGGTAGTGTTGCCAATTTTATTAATGTATTCAGAAACTGTAATTTAAGGTCAGTGTATAATATTTCAGGTAAAATTTTGAAATTCTGCCAGTTGTGGTAAATAGTATTAATAAAAATCTGATTATTTTGAAGATTATATTTTATCTTTAATGAACATGGAATATCACTTTTCCCTTTTATAAGCTTCTCTGCTTTCTACTTAAAATGAACAATTCTTCTTTTTTCTTAGAACCTCTTCAGTAGCTCATTGTCACTAGTATTGTAAAAGCCAACCTTTTATTTAGAACGTAATTTATAGTCTATTATCTCCTTGTCACTTTTGATATATTTACCCCTTTGAACTATATTCTGAAGCTAACTTTATTCTGTAGCTTTATGAAATTAAACACCCTTTCTTCCTTTTGATCACTATCGCCATACTCCTGTTTACTTTTCAAAATCCTGCTTATTTGCCGCATCTGAAGAGTATTATATGAACCATCACTTCACACATCCTCTGGAAAGTCAAATCTTCTATTTACTGGTCTAAGCTACTAATAGCATAACTTGTGTATATTTTTATCAAGCATACGGAATGTTTTCCAGAGACTTTTTCAAGCTCCCTTATACATATTTCTCCAACTCCCCTTGATTCTACTTGTTTTCTCCTCAAGGATAAGGACTTTCAAACCCAAACCAAACTCACTACTGACCTTTATAGTTATGTATATGTGTACCTACAGTGTTCATTTAAATTGGTTTTTTTTTAACTTGTGGTTTTTGGGTGAAATTTTTCAGAGCTTCATTTCTAGTCCTCACAATGTAATAGCACTTTTTACACTCTCCCTATGTTTACCATTTTCAGTTATCCGTCTTCCTATCCCTTCCTGAATTTGAGCTTTGTTCCTGGGCAAGTACCCTTCTAATTTCACATGGTTGGTTAGTTTAAGGAGTGTATACCTCCCCAAACTTACTGTTCACTTTACAGGTTTGTCAATTTTTTGACTGAAAGTTGAGCCACAAGGGTAAATTTGGTTCCAGGCCTGAAGGGTGTCTTTCTTTAAAGAACCAACTTCACCTGAACATTTTTTAATAGGAATAAATTTGACAGTTTACAAAGCCAAATATTGTACAGTGGGGACATTTAAGATAATGTCTAGAAAATAGATATCTTTAGATTTATATCTCACTTTTAGTATTGGACTGGGCAGTTTGCCTTCATCTCATGGTTACTTTTTGCACAAGAAAATGAAAAACTGCTGAATTCTTCCCATCCCCTTGAATGGTTGCTGATTGGACCTGTGTTGTGCTGTGTTGTGTTGTGTTATCCAGGGAGTTTACTTTGGCAGAATTTTGGAAGTAGATTGTGTCAGATCTTTCTTCCTACTCCCTATCTCTCTGTCTGGATGTTCTGCTGAAACCTGGCCAGCATCATTGAAACAGTAGTCTACCACTGACACATGAATGGTGACTGCCCATTACTGGGAATCTTTACCATCCCTTAACAAAAACCTAGCATAAGTAGACTATATTCAAATTGGAAAATATAAATTTTCATAAGCAAGATATATATATATTTTCTCAACTATCAAACCTATTAGTTTACTAATATGGGGCTTTTAAAATGATTTTTTTCTTATTTTGTTTTATTTTTAACTTGCATTTTATAAGGGCCTTTAAAAGGTTTATGGAAAAATGGAACTAAAAGATAATGGCATTTTTCACAGTCATTTTGAAGCTCTCATATATTCTAGTCTTTAAAATAAAATGACAAGTCTCAGTGGTTCATTGGCACTGTTGTATGAGGTGCAGTCAGTTCTGTTCTGAGGCACAGCAGCCATCCATACGGACAACAGAATGAAGCACTGCCATCTTCATATTATCTTCTATGTTTAAAACCCACCTTTGTAACCACTGTATTGACCCATTTTTGTGAGTTCTTCATCTTATTTTGATGACTCTCTACTTTCCCAAACATAATATCCTTCTCCGGGGACTGGTCCCGCCTTATAATATGGAAAAAGTAATTGAGACATAGTCTTGCCATTCCTCATTCTGAGTGTCATCTGGTTGTACTTTCTCCAGGATATATTTGTTCATTCTTTTTGCAGTCCATGGTATAATGAGTACAGATCACCAAGACCATAATTCAGATATATTAGTTAACCTTAGGTCTTCCTTAGCTGTTGTCTACCTTCTTATGTCTATGAGGACATTGGCATTAGACTCAAGGTTTTCTAAATAAAAATTATTTATTTGGATTCATTGAGACTATCAATTGAAAAATGTAGTCTTTACTCTTAGTATTGAAATGTGTTATAATTTAAATGCAGTAATTAAAGCTTAACTTTAGCATATTTGAATCACTTTCTCCGAAATTGTTCCTAAGAATATATAGTTCTTAAACAAGAGGCTCCAGAGCTTAATTTTCTTTTCTATGATTTAGTATCATAGTGCCTAAAGAGTTACTGTTCTCAGGAACCCTCAGGGATAGTTCTGCTCTGTCCTATAAATAAGGTCGCTCTGAGTCGGAATCGACTCTATGGCAGTGACCGACTGATAGTCCCTAAACTTACAGGGGCTCAGTACTCAGTAAATGTTTGTTGAATGGATAAAAGCCACTGACTTCATGAATACCTCAATCTTACCTACTACCCTGCTCCTTGCAGGTTGCTTCAGGACCAGCTCCCTTCTACCACAGCCCCTGGCCACAGCAGCAAGAAGCTAGTCTCTCTCCCTTGTAATTGACAAATCGGGGAACTATTTTATTACTTGAAGATTTCCCTAAGTCTGAATCTTCAGGTATTGTAGATCAAGTTTGTTCCCCACTTTACTGATTTCATAAGCTTGAACTATCATACAGTGGGGTTTTTTATAATGAAGGATACAGGCAATTAAAGTAATGGCACCCAAATTTGTAGAGTTCCTTAGGGAGCAATAATAGGTTAGTTTTAGTGTTAAAATTTGACCCATTTTAATATAAGAGAAAGATAGTTTTCTTAAGCCTATAACCCTGATTTTAAGAGTGGATATCTACTTCATTAAAAAACACATTCACATCTTGGTAGTCTCATTTTTTTCACAAGAGTTTTTATTTGGTATTCTAACTACTGAGATACATTTTAGATTACATTTCTCTATAAATCATAAAAAGTACAGGGTATGTTTTTTCACAGCTTAATATTAATTTAATAAGTCTTTGAAATATTTTAATTAGTATTAGTTTGTACTGTTGATAGGAAATCTGTTGCTGTTACTAAAATGCCTAACCAAACAAAATATTTTCTTCTGTGACTAAAATTAGGATGAAATAGAACCATTTCCAGAAGAAAGAGAGAACTTTCTTCAACAGTTGTACAAATTTATGGAAGATCGAGGTGAGTGGCTATTTTGTTGTTGGTTTTTTAGTTCAACATCAATTTTGTAGACTTTTGATAGATACTTTATTTTCTAAAATTAAATATTCTGTTCAAGTCACTGGCAGCTGTTTTTTTATGCTGATATCACTAACATCAAGCATTATGATTGTTACATAAGTGCTTGTAGAATGAGGGATTTGAAAGTCTTTAATGGTTTTTATGCCTATGGACCCATAAATATATGTGTAGTGTCCTACCAATCCACTTTCCTACCTCAGGCCCCCAAAGGACCCTTACGTAGCAATGACAGCATAGAATCATAGTAAAATTGTAATGTTTACACAAAAATATATAGTAAAAAACTTCCTCTTAATTCAATTTGAGATAACTTGCTTGTGTGTGTGTGTTAAGTGTACATGCATGCCTGTGTGTCAACATGCAAACACTGTCAAGTACATACCCATACTAAAACAGATAACTAAGTCTTCTTAAGACTCATCCAAATAAAACTAACTAGAAGTAAACCATCCATATAGATTTAGAAATAAGATAAAGATGACAATAATCTCTTGTGAGGCTTGGTTCAGTTTATCGAATTTGCTTAATGTTGTTAAAGAAATGCAAAAAAAAAAAAAAGAAATGCAAAGATTGGGAAAAAGAGGAACATATATTATCAGTACTATCCATTTAATTTACAGTGATGACCTACTTAGGCCTCCAATAGTTATGATCGTTGCTTATCTTCTTGGTCAGAGTTTAGCTTCTCCTCTCCTGGAAGACACTAGTACAAAGTAATTATTTGGAGGTGCTATTTTCCTCTGGGAATTTATGTCTTTAAATCCATGTTTGTAAAGTTGATGAGAAACTGTCTTGTCTTCTTTTTCTCAAATTGTAGTGGCTACCACAATGTAGGAATGACTTAATTATTTAATATGAAATGCTTTTGAGTCCTATACTATTCCCTTATTTGACTGAGCCTTTGTCTAAGAAGGTATATGCTGCTAGTTAAGATTTTGTATGAGAAGTGAAAAAATAAGGAAAATTAATAAAATTTAGTGTTAGAGAAAATAACAAAACATGTTTGTGCCAGTCATATGTGTTTTACAAAGGGCCTTTAAAAAAATCATTTCATTAGAGGCTCTTACAAATCTTATAACAATCCATACATCGGTTATATCAAACACATTTATATATATGTTGCCATCATCATTTTCAAAACATTTTCTTTATACATGAGCCCTTGGTATCAGCTCCTTTTTCCCCCCTCCCTCTCCCACCCTAGTGAACCCCTGATAAATTATTATTTTCGTAGCTTACACCATCCATTGTCTCCCTTTGCCTGTGGTTTTTTTTTTTAAATCATTTTATTAGGGACTCATACAACTCATCACAATTCATACACACATCAATTGTGTAAAGCGCATTTGTACATTCATTGCCCTCATCATTCTCAAAACATTTTCTCTCCACTTAAGCCCCAGCATTAGGTCCTCATTTTCCCATCCCTCCCCTCTGCCCCCTCCCTCATAAGCCCTTAATCATTTATAAATTGTTATTTTGTCATATCTTGCCCTGTCCAACATCTCCCTTCACCCACTTTTCTGTTGCCCGTCCCCCAGGGAGGAGGTCACATATAGTTCCTTGTAATCGGTTCCCTCTTTCCTACCCACTCTCCCTCTACCCTCCCTGTTTCGCCACTCACACCACTGGTCCTGGATTCCCTGTATTTTCAGTTCCTATCTGTGTTTCCGTTGTTTGTCCTCACAAAGGGTCTTTCATTACCTATCTCTACCCTTTAATCTCCCTTACCATTTACTAGTTGCTTGGTAGTTTGGTTCAGTACCCTTGTCCTACAGTAAACTATGTTAGAATGAGACAAGAGTATAGTTTTACTTTTGAGTCATTGTTTAGAGTAATAGGAAATCAGTAAAATATAAGGAAGATGTCTTTATCTTTCCTATCAGTTACCTCAATACTTAGGTTTTCCTTTATTTCATATTTATTCTTTTGTTCCCCAGGGGCATGAAAGTAGAATAAAATAATATACTCTTTAAAAAATTTGATAATTTGCGGGGGGTATGGGGTGTTGGAGAACATAACAACTGGGCTTAGAAACATGTCTTTGATTAACAAAGATTTTTGTTGTGTATTGTTTTAGGAATTTTTTTAATAAACTAATGCTTAAACATAATTATTATGTGTGGCAAACAAACACCACAAAGTCATCACACATGACAAATTGGGGAAAATATTATAACTCATATTTCAGGAAAAGGGTTCATCTTTATATTTAAAAAGCTGTTAGACATCGGGGAGAAAAAGACCCATACTCCAAAAGCAAAGGGCATCTTCAGTCAGCCCATGGAAACAAATACAAATGACTCATAAACATATGATATGATGTGAGTCTCATTCGTCATGAGAAAAATGCAAATTAGAACCACATCAAGATTTTGCATCAATATGTTTATCTATCAGATTGACTGATATCCAAAAGTTGTCAGCACTCCCTGCAGACAAAGCTGCGAGGACACAAGCACTCCTAAGCAGTGCCATGAAGAGGACAAGAGCTCATTCCTGCCCGTGTCGATTAACAGCATTGGTCAAAATCCAAATGCATTTTCCTGTTGACCAGCATTCCCACTTCTTCAGATATACTCGAAACCTTAGTGGTCTAAGTTGAACTGTGTCCCCAAAAGTATATGAAGTCTATTTGGAACCAGAGTCTCTGAAGATGTCATCAGTTAACTTGAGGTCATCCTGGGGTGGAGTGGGTCCATATCCAACATGAGGAGTGTCCTTATGAAAGTGGAGAAGGGACACAGAAGCAGAGGGAAGATGGGTCCTATGAAGACAGAGGCAATGATGAGTTATCTTTTTTTTTATTTTAAGTACACTTTTACACTATATATTTCAGTGGTTATTCTTGAATCCTTTTAACATATCAAACTTAAAGTGTAGTTTGGTTCTAATGCACTTTGTGTTTTTTATTAGGCACACCTATTAACAAAAGACCTGTTCTTGGGTATCGCAATTTGAATCTCTTTAAATTATTCAGACTTGTACACAAACTTGGAGGATTTGATAATGTAAGTATCAGAATTGAATGTGAAATGATTTCCATGCAGCTTCATCTGTCAGGTAGCTACTATTTCTAAATGGTCATCTAGTAATAAATACCTAACAATATAAAGAAAACAGAAAGTACAATATGGAGCTAGTCTTCCTCAGACCACATTGAAATTTAATTAAAATTTAGGTTTGGGGATTTAAAAAATAATTTAGTAGTACATTTTCCCAACTCTGCTGTAAACAGCAAAATCATGCTGATAGAAGTTTTCTTTCTTTTGTTTATCAAACTATAAAAGCCTTGAGAGCAGGGATGGATCTCTATATTTTTGTATCCTGTGTTCTTTCACACAGAGAGAGACAATGTTTGTTGAAAAGATTGAAAGAAACTGTTTTGTTATGTGTTCATTTGAGAGTATTCTGCATCATAAAATGCTTCTTACTAAGGCCAGTAAAGTTACTTTGATTCACTTGTAAGATTCATGGGAAATAATAAATCTTTTCAGGTTTTTTTGGTGTGTGTATCTTCATTACAAAATTTAACCTGAGTCCAGGTGCTGTGTTAGTAATTGCTATGTCAGCATTTATTTGCAAGTTAAATGGCCTAAATTTTAATATTTGTAATGCTCTGAGATTGGTTGGAATACTAAAACTTACTTGATAATGTCATAAGCCCAAGTTTTAATTTAGAATTTATCAAGTTTAATATTTTTCATTCCTTTGAGATTAGACCTAGTAAGTATAAATATATATTCACTCATAAATTAAGTTGCTACTAGGGATCCAGTTCGTATATGCACAGGTTTCTTCCAAACAAAACATGCTTGAACATGTCTATGTAATCAGCAGATGTGTGCACACAAGTTATCTCAGTATTATGCTTGTCTTAGTCTCTTTAAGGTTCCTTTAAAAACAACAACAACAAGAGGTCTAACCAAACAATGTTTTCCAAAGTAATCTGCCGGGCTAATTAAATTCAAGGCACAGAGGTCAGTACAGAAGGTTATCAGGATTCTGTTTGAGGGATAGGAAGGTCTGTCATATGAAAATTTCCTTGGAAAACCTTACAATATCCAACCTTAGAGCCCTGATCTTGCCCATTCACACTGCTGTTTGTTTCCAGAACTCAAAATTTAAAGGGAACATAATTTGAGTGACCTCAAGGATGCCAAAACTGTCTTAGTGAAGTGGTTGATATTTATAGACATAGATGATGGATATGTCAAAAAACAATAACTCACATTTTGGTCATTTTTATGTAACGATACATATATACATGAGGAAACTTTAAAACAGTGGGAAAATAGAGCTAAATGATAGTGGAATTCTTGTATGAAATTTTTGAAACCCTGTGTGTGTGTACATATATATATATACACACACATATACATATGCACATAAGTACTTATATATATATAAATTGTACTTATCAATTTTTTCTCATTTTCTCCTTTTAATTTGTGAATTTTCATTTCATTTTGCCCATTAGATTGAAAGTGGAGCTGTCTGGAAACAAGTCTACCAAGATCTTGGAATCCCTGTCTTAAATTCAGCTGCAGGATACAATGTTAAATGTGCTTATAAAAAGTAAGATAGTGTTTATTCCTGATAAGGCTATTTTAAATGTTTTTCCTAGAAAGCAAGATTGAGCTTACTACAACTGAAGGTCGTTCTTTCTTCTTAGAAGAAATAAAATATTTTTATTATTATAATTTTTGCATGCAAAGAGTATTAAATCTGTGAGATATTTTATGAAGGTTTTCATAGTGAAATAAATGGGATGGACAGCTTTGTAAGTTATTAGCAATTTGTGCTCTTAGACATTTATTTGCCTATCTAAGACTCAATTCAAAGGAGATCTGGTGATGCTTTAGACTAAGTTTTGGGCTACTAACCGCATGGTCTGTGATTCAAGCTCACCTGTTGCTCCACAGGAGAAAGATGATGCTGTTTACTCTTGTAAAGATTAAGAGTTTCAGGGACTCAGACAAAAAGAAAAAAGATAATATAATTCACAGTTTTAATATTAGAGACTCTGTATAAGTGCTGTGAGTCATAATCAACTGGATGGCAATAAGTTTGTAAGCGTATTCTCTCATTTGTATTTCTCAGGGTTACTCTGGTGATTAAATGAGATTTTAGATGTGAAGATGCTCAGTGCCTGGCACTGAACATAAGGAGTGCTTATCAAATAGCATAGATTATACGAATAATCATAATGACCGTTAACTGTTATTACAGTTAACATTAAAACTGGCTTCAGCCCAGTTTTTAAGTGAATTGTTTCACTTTGAGTAAAAAAGATTGAAAGTGTCTGAACTGGAATAAATTAGTGTTGACATGATTCAGTGTCCGAGTTTTAAACAAAGAAAGAAAGAAATGAATGCATTTTAAAAGCAACCGCTCACCAGTGATATTTTGAAATACCTTCACCAAATGTAATTTATTTTCATACTTTTAGGTACTTATATGGTTTTGAAGAGTATTGTAGGTCAGCCAATATTGAGTTTCAGATGGCATTGCCTGAGAAAGTTATTAACAAGCCATACAAGGAGTGTGAAAATGTAAAAGAAATAAAAATTAAGGAAGAAAATGAATCAGATATCAAAGAAATAAAGATTGAAGAAGAGGGAAATAGAACACTGAAAGAAGAAGAAAAAACTGTGGAGGATGACACAGAAAGAAAAGAAAATATCAAACCTCTGGTAAATGAGATATTATTGATTGTTCTTTGCTGCCTTTGATAGACATTGTCTACATCCTTACCAGACTTTAATAGATAGCACTATATACATTTCTCTTCATTATGTATTTTTGTATGGTTTTGAATATAATAATTCAAAATATTTTTAGCTATTTTGCCTCGTGATTTTATGAATCTAGGATTTTTTTAAATATAATTAATACTTTTCTCCATACTAGTATTGGTTGGCACCTAACATTGTTGTAACATAGGTTTAGGCTGAAAAGTTTTACTTTTGTTGGTTTAGTTCCTCTGATCTTTTTCTAGGGAAGTAAAAAGAATTTATTAGAATCTGTATCTGCCCAGTCTGATCAGGAAAAAGAAGTTAACATGAAAAAATCCGGAGAAAATGAAAATTTGGAAGATCAAGATGATGAAATAAGTAGGGTAGATGATTCCATGAACATAAAGGTAGAAGCTGATGAAGAAAAAGCAAAATCTGGGTAAGAGATTTGTTTTTGGTTAAGATGCATTTTGGCTAGATGAATTCTTTTATGTGTTCTTTGTATGATGTGTGTGCATGTATTAATCTAAGTTTGGCAAAATTTAGAATAATTGAGTGAGCATTTGACTAGGTAAATACCATTTGCCTTTTCAGAGACCCGACTAATACAAATTTATAGAAAAGATCTTCTTTTGAAGCATTTTTCTTGCTCTCATCATGGAAATTTATAAATTACTTAGCTTAATAAAAGTACTAATTGCTTTATTAAATCCTACAGATTGACCAGATTAAGTAAAGTTGGAAAGGTGGTCTTCTCCAGTGTTTTGTAGATGGTATGTTAGCTGTAGATTCTGAGACTTGTATTTTGTAAGTAAAAAAATTAAAATGGCAAAAACTTGAAAATATAAATTTTTATATTATGTTTTATGTGACTGAAATATGTTTTTGTCTATTTACAATGATGAATTATTTAGTAATTCATGCAGTCAGTAGTCTCTTTGAATTTTAAAGATAATTCTCTATGAATAATCTTATTCCTGAAGTTTAAAGAACCAACAGCTCCATTGTTAGTGTTGTTTAAATAAGTACAAGATCTTTTTCTTGATCCTTTTGTATTTTTCTGAAATTTTGGCCTCATTATGTAGACTTACATGGAAGAGGGGAAAAAATAAAGTGGATTCACTGGAGTGTAGTAAAAGTTGTCTGTTTATTATTATTTGTTATAATTCTCTGTGCACACGTGCATATATTTGAAGTACTTCTGCTTAATACTGGTAGGGACTATTTCAGATAAGTCCAAATAAGAATTCAGCTGTTTGCCTTGAACTATCTGGATACTTATACTTTTTGTTGTTGAAATTTTGGCCAGTGCCTGCAGAAAAACATACCAAAGAAGAGAAAAACAAAATAAAGCATAGATGAAAACATATTATGTTTTGTTATATTTCTTTGTGTATAAATGTTATTTTAATAATTTCTTACTGCTTCTTGTCACCATTTCAACTACTGAAAATCTTCATAAAGGATTCAGCTTTTTACCTAAATAAGTCTGATTTTAAAATCTACAGCTATTTCTGGTCTTATTTATTATTTGCAAGGCAATATGACAAAACTGTGTTTTTTCTTTGATCCTAATAATTATCTCAGTATTTCAATTTAATCTTTTAGCTTATTGTACTTTTTAAACTATATTTTATATATTATTTTATTAATCCTTTAGATCAATAATATATACTTTTTAAAATGTTACTAAAGATAGTCACAAATATATTTATGTTACACAATGAAAATTTCATGTTGTGATTTCCTTAATTTACTCGATGTTTATAAACATTATATGTTGAGAGTGTGGAAAATGAATTTCTGAATTTTATTTGATAAGTGCAATAAAAAGTTTTACCAAATAATTTTCTAATAAGCTGTGTCTAAGTAACTAAATGTCTCCTATCAAGAGTTTTGATCATCCACTGTATCCAGTAATAGAATATTTTAATAATTAATATATGTAAAATGATTGTTTCAGTAACTGGTTTGTTACTGTGAGTTGCTGCCTTGATTTCTACTCATGGCAACACCATATGTAGATAGTAGAGCTATTTTGAAGTAGATTTGGAAACAGATCTCCCAAGGCTTAACAGTGCTTCTCTGAGTAGGTTCGAACCGCCAACCTTTCAACTAGTTGAGCGTGTAACCATTTGTGCCACTCACACTCTAGCTGGCTTGTACTTAATGAAGAGTAGCTGTGTTTTTGTTTTTTATTGTTGTCTACTGTGAGGAATTTGACTTCAAATGTGGAAATTTTGTTGTTTCTATATTAATTCAATTGGAAGATCCTTGATGTTGCATTTGGTAGTTGTGTAAAAGATAAACTTGAATCTGTATGGGTGCTTCTGTGTGTGTTAATATACTTCAGCTTCCCCCCTCTTTTAAATCTATGTAATGGTTATTATAGTTTACACTTTAAAAGGCTCTTTTTCTTGGCATTCTCAATGAGTGCATTAAACTGAATCTGCTACTGAACTCTTAGAAAAGTGGAATATTTTCTTTGGCTGATTTCCAGTAACTATGTTGTTTGTTTCTTTATACCTTAGTGTATTTCTTGAGTGCATTTCATTTGGGTTGTGTCTGAGGTTGACAATAAATGCTTACACTGTGTGCAGTTGGTCTTCCTTCCAGATTAAATAAAAGTTTGCCTTGGTTACCTATGGCTGTGCGTCCTTTTGGCATCTCATAGTTGTGTTCAGTGCAGGAAGATATAGTTCAGAGTTTTTATTTTATAGACTTTCTATTGTTTATCACCTATCTCTTATGTGGTATTTTAGGTGTTAGAAGTAGGATGCATTGTATTATAAATCTACTCTTTTATCATGGCCAACAAAATACACTTCTTTCTCTAGAACCCTGATATACAGGGATATAATCTTATGATAATATACTTAGTACTCTTGCGTAGAAAAGAGTGATTAATTTTTATTATTTAAAATTCTTAACAATAGGTTATCATCTAAACATTTCTGATCACTAAATATTTTTATGTTTCTAATTTTTTATTATAAATAGTTAATGTAAATGTAAATTTAATATAAAATATTTAGTGGTAAAGGACATATTTTGGATTTCAAGTTACAGGTCTTTAAAATACCTGTTCATTTAGCAATAAATGAGTCTTTAAAAGAGGAATAATTCTAGAGATTCTTTACAGACTTTGTGATGTATTTCAGATACTAACCATTTGATAACTTTTTCTACTTTAATCTTGATTTAACAAATATATTCGGCTTCCCCTGCCACCTTCCTCTAATAATAGTAAGAAAGATGAAAAGGGATTATAATACTTATTGCATAACTAGGAATGATGAGTATGTTACTGCTAAAAAAGGCTGTTATTGCTTTAAAAAAAAAAAAAAGGCTTTTTGTGTAACGTATGGCCACAAGGAGCCTTGGTGGTATAGTAGTGAGTGTTCCACTGCTGACTGAAAGGTCAGCAGTTTTCATCCACTAGCCAATCCACAAAAGAAAAATGGAGGAGTCTGCTTCCATAAGTATTTACGTTCTTGGGACTCGATGGAGCAATTCTGTTTGCCCGAGAGGGTTGTTTGTCCTTGACAACTGAGTTTTTATTATAACCATAATTTAGAAAGATTACTTCTCTGTCATGTGACTTTTATTTTATAATGCTTACTATTAGTCAACCGTATAATGATTCCTTTTGAGAGAAAACTGTTAATAATAAATAGAGACATACTATGCAACAGATTAAAAACTTACTAAAAAAGCTTAGAATTTCATTTTGAAGTTTGTTATTAGTGCTTAATATAAAAAATGAGTGCTCAATTTTAGCACATATAGTATTGAGAAGATAAAATTGATTGTCATGCATCATCTAGAATGATTTGATTGTAGTTTAATATAGTTGTAATTGGATTTTTCATCTACCAATTTTTAAAACTTGAAGAGTGAAAGGATTTGTAATTAAAACTTGATGTAAATAGGATTTCAAAAGGTACATGGAAAAAAATGGAGTGAAAAGATAATTGTCCATCAAGTTTTTCAAGCCCCCTTGTATGTAATAAGGGGCCCTGGTGGCACTGTGTGGTAGGTAGATTAGACTGCGCTAAGTTACTGGTTCAAACCCACCTGCTGCTGTATGAGAGAAAAATGAGGCTTTCTGCTCCTGTAAAGATTTACTCTCAGAAACCAGTGGGAGCAGTTGTACTCTGCCCTTCAGTTGGTGTGAGTCAGAATGGACTCAATGGCAATGGATTTTTTAAGTGGTGAAGAGAGAGCAGTCAGGAGAGACTAGTTGCTGGAAAAGGACATCATGCATGGTAAAGTAAAAGGGCAGCGTGAAAGAAAAAGGAAGACCTTCGACAAGACGAGACGGATTGACACAGTGGCTGCAACAATGGTCTCAAACATAACAGCAATTGTGAGGAGGATGCAGGACTGAGCAGTGTTTCATTGTTATACAGAGGTCACTTTGAATCGAACCGACTCGATAGCACCTAACAACAGTGACAACAAAGAGAACAGAAATTGAGGTGAAGTTTAGGAAGATCGAAATTGTAGTGATGTTCATAGTAAGTTAGTATTTTTTTTAAAGACAAAATAATATTTTGGTTATTACAAGATTTGGAATTTTTGCTATTATGATGTCCTCTCCTAGCCAAAAAAAAATTTTTTTAATCCTGAGGCTGAAACTATATTTAAATGAAAAATAAGTTTTATTCAGAAAATGTTACTTTTTTTGTTTTATTTTGTTTTGGCTGACATGTAAGACACAGGCAAATTATGCAGTCAACCTTACTAGTTTCTTGATAACTCATATTCAGCACAACCTCCATTCTTCTGGCTGATGGAAATTTTCTTTTAACATACTTGTTTTTGAATATTCATTTTCACTAATAACTATCTTTCTGCAACCATAATCATCTTAAACAGTTTAGTTTTTAATATTATATTGAAACTCAGAGAATTTCATACACATGGAACCTGCTGTTCCCCGGAACACTCACAGCCACAATATTGATCAGTATATGTGGTTTGGAACTGAAAAGCTTATGAAGTATCTTTTATTAACTCTGCAATTTTTTAAACCTTTCAAGAGATGAAACGAATAAAGAGGAAGAGGAAGATGATGAAGAAGTAGAAGAGGAGGAGGAGGATGAAGAGGATGAAGATGATATTGACAACAATGAGGAAGAGGCATTTGAATGCTATCCACCAGGCATGAAAGTCCAAGTGCGGTATGGACGAGGGAAAAATCAAAAAATGTATGAAGCTAGTATTAAAGATTCTGATGTCGAAGGTGGAGAGGTCCTTTACTTGGTGCATTACTGCGGATGGAATGTGAGGTAACTTTGAGTTTTAGCTAGTGATTATTACCTAAACACACTTCTAAAATACTTTTTTATTTTAAATTTTAATGAATTACAGGCTTGTGAGTATTCTAATTGAGGTTATTATACCACCGTAAAAATACGTAGGTTGGCTTCCTACATGCTGTTTTGAGTACTTGCACTATATCTTTCCACAGTGAATATTGATGTTAATACATATAAATTAATTAAAAATATGCTTCTGATAAATTATACAAGAGCTCTTAAAAGGTAAAAGAGAATTTAGTTTCTTGATTTCTACAAGCCAAATGTCAAGTTACCTGCTTTCTTGCATTTTCATTGTCACAGTAACCTCCTCTTAAGTATCTTCTGTCCTCATCATATTTCTTTCCTTTTGTAGGCAGTGATTTAAAGGTTGATTCCTTAACAAGCATTAGTTACTTCCAAAAGGCCTTATCTCCTCTTTAATAGCTTGCATTGCAACCTGTACAAAAAACTCAGATTTATTTTTGTCTTTGAAACCTTATGATTAATATAGGCAAGTCTACTTGACTTTCTGCTACTATCATAGGGAAACCGATAGACAAGTTTGAAGTTCAGTTTTAGCTTGAGTTCATTGACTTTAGTTTTTACTTTGCACAATTTTCTTTAACTTATCCAAAGAAATATTTTTAAATTTTATCCAAATCTAATGAGCTCGTTTTTAGATCTTATCATTTAGTAATATTTTAGGAGTAACTTAGTTCACTTTGAAATATTAGTATTAAATTTGAAATTTAGCCTCTGACAGAAAAATTAACCTTTGAAGTTATACATGATAGTTTAATGGTATACCTAGGTTCAAAGTGGGATATTGTTCATATATTTTATATTCAAATTGCATTCTATGGTTTGTGAAGTTAACACAAAAATGTCACTTAAAATTCTCTAGTTAGTAAAAATACGTTTTTTGTTGTCCTTGTGCAGCAATAGGAAGCTCTAGAAGCAGGAACCTTTCTTGTTATGGAAATAGTGCAATTCTTATCATTTCGATGCATAGAATAAAAGCTTAGGTCATCAGGAAGTGTTAGGAAACATGCATTCTTCATTGTTTCTGACCAACAAGTTAGAATCGCTATCTTAATAACTGTTACATAAGCTTTCCCAGATAATCTCTTTTTAACATGATGTACTTTATCCTTTGGGTTGTTCCTTCTTCTGCTGCCTCTATGGCACATCGTTTTCCTGACCTAAAGGGCTGACTATTAATGATCATGTTCAAAGGAAGAAACTTGACATCTCACATATAACTGCTAGAAAAATATTTAGTTGTTTAGATATTCCTAAATGAGCATATTAAGTATAGGAGTTCAATTTTTACCTGTGATATTGATTTAAATACAAAAACATGCTGGTTTAAAATTAGGATGAAAGTGCTGAGTCATCAAGAACGAATTCTTACTATGTTATGCCCACAGATAGAAGCTACTTCATCTTCTACCTACTTCATCTTTCAGTTCTTCTCTCCTACTTATTTTACTCGCTTAATTTAAAGAGGCAGTTTTCCTAATTTAGGCATTCTCCAACTCATACTACAGCCAGGAGATTATTATTATTTTAGTAATTGACTCATTAAATCAAAGGGGCTTGTTAAGTTTAGGAATTGAGGTATTCATAAAATTACTCTGCATTTAATATGACTGTTTTTATTAAGAAAAATTAGACTGAGAAGGATTCATCTTAGATTACTTGGGTATTATAGAATAGAAAAAATAGGGAGCATTTTAGTTTTGAAATTGCTATGGGATGGGGTAGGATAAGAGAGGGTGTTTTTTTTTTAATGGAAACTTTCAAGTTTTTAATAACAGATAGGAAAATACAACCTAGTGCACAAGACATGCTTTTAATGTTAAGAAGGATCCTACTTCTGTATGGTAGGAATTTTTAAAAGAAAACTTAACCATCTCAATGAAGATCTATAGAGTATATCTCTAGCACTCCAGAGAAAAATAACTATTTCAGTAAATTAGGCAATTAATTTTTTTATAGACAACATATTTGTATACATATATCTCTGTAATACTAACTGATGTGTTTGATTGTTAAGTAACCTATAATTATGTTGTCTGTACTTCCTTTATTCTGAATTTAATCTGCAGGGGGGAAATTATGCACTCTAGAGATATTTTTCTCTAAGTTTGGAGGCCTTGATCTGTAAATTGCCTCTAGATATGAAATTAGAAGGATTCATGAAAATTCATTTTAAAAATTCATCTTCAGTGACTGCCATTTGGCCTGACGATTTGGGATATTTACATGGATATTTTTGGGGAAATATTTTGGAAAAAATGGTCATTACAACTCTTCCTGGGTATATACTTGAGTGTAAGCCAAGTTTTTTAGCACATTTTTAATGCAGTTTTTATAGTAAAATTAGGTGCCTCGGCTGATATTCAGGTTGGCTTATAACTGAGTATATACGCTACATTTGAAATGCCATTTTCCAGCCCACAGGTATTTCTTAAAGAATGTAAGAATGTCTGTTTTTTGTTAAATTTTCCATTTTTCTTTTTTTGTAAGTGCTGCAGAAGGATATAGTTTTCATTGTTACCCCTATTTCAACACTAAAAAGGTTGATTTTTTTTTTTTACTTTAATTATAATGTTTAGACCAGATTGTAATTTGCTTTAAGGATGTAAATAAAATGTAATTTTACATGCTTATATCAGATTTACTGGAAATAATAATTGATTACAAACTATATAATTCATAAATGATTCAATGCTGCTACCGAATTTTTTAGCTAGGGAAACCATATTTTCAACAATAGAATATATAAGGTTACCACATATTTTACTCTTAGCTAATGGCTTTAATTTTTTTAGCTTGTTTAAATTATATCAATATAGAAATATGAAAATATATATACAAATAGAAAAAGATCACTATAATAAAATGCACTTTATTTTAGTCCTTTAAAAAATTTATCAATACATTCTTTAAAATTGTAGTCATGAAAACATCACTATGAACTAGGAAACTATTAAAATCATTAAAAACTATGTAAAATATAAGAATATGTTCCATCTAGTACTTTACACTTCTGAAAGAGGTGTTTTTCTCTAATCCTCTCTTGAATAACTCTTCACACTTCAATTTACATGTCAATGTGGCTGTTTGGCATCAAATCATATTCCTTTCCAATGTTTGAATTTAGGAAGCAAAGAGAAGGGCTGAAAGGGCAAGCTCAGCTCTATAAAACAGATAGGATAAGGTTTCCCAATGAAATTCGCCTAGACCCCCCTACTACTCTCTAAGAATGAGCAAATACATTGTCATGATAGGAAGGGGAAAAAAGAGTCATTGCAATTCTCCCTGGGTTATTTTCTCACCAGTGTAGTTTTCTGTTTTCTTATAATTTCTTGTGCCCTTCTAGACTTATCTATCAAGAATTACTCCAAGAGTTGCTATAACCTTCCGAGCTCACCTTTCCACCTTGAATTTCACTGACCTACAGATCCTTTAGGGAACCACTATTCTGTTTGGATCTGTTTCAAGGCTAAGATCAAATATATGTATTACCAGGAGATCTTGTCAGCAGCCAGCAGCTATCCACTGATTATAAAGATATTTTAAAACATGATTTGTTTGGAATAAATCTATATATGTATGAACTGGAACTCAACTGGCAGTCTCTTTTTACTTACTCTCATAATTTAGTAATTTTTAACAGTATACTGTTATATTTAACTTCTTTTTGTGATATTTATATATTCTAGATGTTCTTAGAATTATTAGCTGATTGATCCTTGTCACACTTAAATTTGTAAACCATGTCAGGAATCGACCTTTATAAAAGCTTATATTTTTAAATGCTCCTGTCATAAGCTGTGTTGATTGTGTTGGAGTTAAACTTGATGAGTAAAAATGTATTAACACCATCTGGACTACTTGGTATATGATGTAGAATATATCATTATTTTACCGTGTTTTATGGCAGTGTTCCTCCCCCCTAACTTTTTTTAGTGTTAAAATTATAAAAGATCAATAGTGATCTTAAAAATAATACAGTGTTTGAGAAAAGGAGATTTTAGATTTCTTGTAAATTTATTAAATACCGTATGTACTCCAGTATAAGCTGACTCCAGTATCAGTCGAGGCACCTAATTTTACAACAAAAACTACATTAAAGATGTGCTGAAAAACTCAGCTTATACGTGAGTATATACAGTAACTAGTGGTTCTTTTTTCTGACAAATAATAGAATTTTCTATTCTGACAAAAATAAGATAAATTATACTTAAATGTTATTTGGAATTGAAATACTCCAATTTTAAAAATCTTAATTCCCCAAGCAAATTTAGTAATCTTTGGTGAGTGGAATGGAAGGCTAGTTGTAAGACTTTCACAGACAGTAGGTTAACACCGCTATTTTCCACCACATAATTGTTTTTAAACAAATTTTTATTTAGTTACCAAGCATGCGTTGAATGTGTGCTGTGTATCAAATACTGTTCTTGGTACTAAGGATATAAAGAAATGATCAACTAGATGGCAACTAACAACCACAACAACCCTCTTCTTACAGTGCTTAAATTATTTGGTCAATTTCTGTTAACACTTCTTTTCATGTACATGCTTTCCGTTGGTTGTTTTCTTGCTCTGTGGTACTCACCTTGCAGTACCACAACAACCCTAATTAAAGTTCACACATTTCCTTGCTTGCACTTTTACTAGGACTTTCTGGAGTAAATCAAACCACTGTACTGACTTTTTGTATTTTAAATTGATGATCAGGAACCTCAAGTTTTGTCGTTAGTCCATATACTCTCCTTTCTTAGGAAACTATTTCACACTGTCTTCTTACCTCTCCAAATTTCCAATCTTTCTCCCATTTTGATGTTCAGCTGGTAACCTTTTTACCTCGCTGAACATTTACAGCAATGAGAAAATAATTTCTATGGACTTGCATTACATTTACCCTTCCCTTCCTTTGTCTGCAACCATATGTCCTGCTTTCTCATAATTAATCATAG